ATTAAAAAAGATTAGGGGTAATCTTGCTACTGATGAACAAAATATAAGTAGAGCAAGAAAACCAAGAAATCCAAAAATTAAGACAATCCACACAAATGTACCTTTAAAAGATTTTTCTCATATTCAGCGTCTTAGTAGTGCAGGTTTGACTTCACTACGAAACCTTTTGTAGTCTGCAAACATAAACAACAGAGTATAATTTAGTTATTAAGATATGTTCTTCTAACTAAAAAAGTTAGAAAAAGCTGAAGCAGCTTAAAGGAATTCTTAGCCACCTGAACCAACAAACTGATGTAAAGCACCCAAAAGTTTGATTGTAAGATTTCTGGTGGGAGCTGTAACATCCTTACAAAAATCTATCAAATCTTGTCGAATGGACAGAAATATCTCTTTGTCATAATGAAAATAACTTAAGTAAAAACAGGGAAATCAGAGCTGGAAATTTTGAAGTAGAGAAATATTCAAAACCTTGGGTTTCAAAAGTGAGACACCAACTCATCAACTGTCGAAACCATCTATAACAATAGAACTTACAGAATCCATAAATCATAAATCACCATTGTGATCAGATTAATATGAAATTAGTCAAAGAAAAGTTAACAAACCAGAGGACAGTTCATAGCAGGCTCGTGTCTTTATATCTGCAACTTGTTCATTATTGCCTGCAAATGATAGAAAAAATCAGCCAAATGAGCTAAGAACTAATTCTGTAAGAAAAGAAAAATAGAACTAACATCATAATACAACATGAACTTCACACAACAACCAGACCAAGATTTCCACTTACTTGTCTAGTTCTTCTAGACCTTGTATCTCCTCTTACAAAAATTTATCAAACCTTGTGAAATGGAAAGTTCTAAAGAAGAGTAAAAATTTACCTTCTTGCTCACAGTCTATAAAATGTCAGCATTTTAATAAGAAATCTCTAGTCGCTCCCTTTATAATGTTGTTGACCAAAGTATCACAACTGTAAGAAGGAAGAGTCAAAATACATAAGCATTTATAAGTATATTAATGCGTACCTTGACAGCTTCAGGTGAGTAAACTTTCATTCCATATAGATTCGTCATTTCTGCCTTCAGGTGATTAAAAAAAAATAGTAACTGACGTAATAATACAACATTCAGAAAGTGAAAGTAGCAGTTTCCTCACCATGGCCTGGTATTACAAATCCTATTTTAAATTTCCAAAAGTATCAACTAATCTGATACTTAAAATGGAGATCAAATGTCTTGTAGCACTCTTCAATTCCATGTTCAACAACAAAAAGAGAATCAATTAATAAGGAGATTATATCCCATTATCACCTTTAACACAACACACTGAGATCAAGTGGAACTCTCAGTATCCTAGAGTAGATAAACTTACCCTTCATCAATTTTCATTACTGAAGCATTGATCCCTCCTTCATACTGATACCCAAATAATACTTATTTCTCTACAATAGGATAATCTCACGAAATAAGATAACAATGTCTCCACATATCAGATTAAGAAGTTGGATTAGAGAGTGGTAGTACCAGGCAAATAACGTAGCAAATCAAGACGGTTTTGGTGATTGGCCAACAACTAATCATAGAACTTGAAACAATCTATAACATCAGCATAAGAACGAGAATCAAATCGGAGACACAGGAACAAATCTAAATCAAAAACAAAGCAGCACAAAACCATTCACGGTGAAGCTACGGCCATCAAACTCTTTCCCGATCATCTCTTCGATATCATCCCATGTAAGATTTATTGTCCTTGAAGATCCCGAATCAGAATCCCCTTTATCTTCTAATTCTCGCGACCTGTCAAAACCAAAATCACAAAACTATCATAGAGATGGTATCGATGAATTAACAGAATCGATCTACCTCTGGGTTCACGAAAGCAGGAAGATTAACATACCAATTGGGATAAATTAGGTAACAGTAACAAAGAACGAGAGACGTAGTAACGATAATCAAATCAAGTAAACATATCAATCTTGGAATCAGAATGATTGGAATTGCCTCGACGGAACCCTAAATCTGGGAGTTCGATCTCTCGTGTGACTCACTTTAGAATCGAGAATGTCCTTTCTAGTGTTTGATTGTCGGCGGTCCAAGCAAAGCCGCCGGGAAAAATCACCGGTACGTAATAGGAGAATTTAGGGTTTCAAAAAAAGGGAAGTTATCAGAGAGATTGTTTACGTTTTTCTTCCTCAAACGGCTATTTCCTTCTCTTATATAGAAGATCCAAATTTTGAAAAGGAAGATCACACAAGGCAACAAGATCCGTTTTAGAAAAATAATTAAATTCCAGCGTTGTACACGTCATAATTGTGAGCTGCAAAAGACCTAAACCAAGATTTTAAATTTTTGGTTTAGTAAAGACGTGACATTTTTTTGGTTAAGACTAACCATGATGATTTTGTCAACAATTTTAGATTGGTTGGGTTTGGTCTAACATGTGACCTCAATTAAGCCAATTAGCTAGTCCCTATCTCTTAAGATTTCTAATGATTGGAAACCGAAATTAAAGAGCCAAATCTTAAACTTTGATTAATTTTGATATGGTTCTATCACATTTCTATTGCTTCATAGCATATATTTAAAATAGATAGCACATTCATGAATGTGGATGTCCAGAATCGAAAGAGAAAGATTTAAGAAGACAAAGTTTAAGAATTACTCTCTTATTAAGCTTTAGAAAACTAACTCAAAAACTAAAGCACACAATATCTCTCAATCTCAAATCTCTCTCAACTCATAGGGTTACCACACCTTGGTACTTCTATTTATATGAAACTCTCAAGACCTAATCCTAACTCAATTAGGGCTTATTTAACTTCTAGAATATTCTAGATAACTCCTAGAATAATTAAGCTTTATTTCCTTTTAGTTAACTAACTTCTAGCTCAAGTTACTTAACCTTCAAGCTTACTCCAACATTCTCCCCTTTAAGCTTGAAGTCTTCTCTTGGCACACCTTGAACTCCAATGAGTTTTCTCATCTCTCCAAACTTGACTCTTCCAAGCGCCTTAGTCAATATGTCCGCTTTCAGTTCTTCGCCGGGAACATGTTTAACTTCAATTTGACCATTCTCAATGCACTCGCGTATAAAATGATACTTCCGGTGGATATGCTTACTTCTACCATGAAACATCGGGTTTTTAGTGAGTGCAATTGCTGACTTGTTATCAACTCGTATGGTTACTCTTTCACATGCCGTTCCAATGACTTCAGCAAACAATTCTTGGAGCCAAATGGCTTGCTTGGCTGCCTCCGTAGCTGCCATAAACTCAGCCTCACATGAAGAGAGTGCAACTACTTGTTGCTTTTGGGAACACCATGTAATTGGACACTCATTAAGGTAGAAGACATGACCTGCGGTACTCTTACCATCATCAACGTCTACACTATGGCTACTATCACTATAGCCTACCAGTCCTGTTCCCGCTTCATTCTTAAAGTAGAGACCGTGAGAGAGAGTTCCTTGAAGATACCTTAAAATTTGTTTTAGCGCAGCCCCATGTGACTCTTTTGGTTCTTGTAGATATCTACTCAAAATTCCAACACAATAAGAAAGATCCGGTCTAGTGTGGAGTAAATATCTAAGGCAACCAACAACTCTTCTATAATCTTGTCCATTGACAATCTTCTCATCTTGTGCCTTAGAGAGTTCCAAACCGGCGGTCATAGGTATGTGTACTGCCTTGCATTCACTCATCCCGGCTTCTTCAAGTATCTTCTTTGCATATCTCTCCTGTTTTAAAACGATTACATCCTCTCCTTGAATAACCTCAATCCCAAGGTAGTAAGTAAGCTTGCCTAAATCACTCATCTCGAATTTCCCGCCATTCTTTTCTTAAAGTCAACTATGATCTCCAAGGTAGACCCGGTAACAAGTAAATCATCAACGTATACTGCTACAATTAGAAGACTCTCTCCTTCTTGTTTCCTGTATAGTGAAGGTTCCTTGGAGCACTTTTCAAAGCTTAAATCCTTAAGAATTTCATTTAGTTTGATGTTCCAAGCCCGTGGAGCTTGTCTTAATCCATAGAGAGCTTTGTGAAGTTTGTAGACTTTCTTCTCACTTCCTTTGACTACAAAACCCTCGGGCTGAGTGACGTAAACATCTTCTTTCAACTCACCATGGAGAAACACCGTTTTAACATCGAGATGATGCACTTCCCATCCATTTGAAGCCGCTAAAGCAATAATGAACCGAACTGTCTCAATACGAGCCACGGGAGCAAAGACTTCATCGAAGTCTATACCATGTTTTTGTACATAACCCTTCGCCACCAACCTTGCCTTGAGTTTGTTCAAGCTCCCATCTAAATTACGCTTCAACTTAAAGACCTACTTCAATCCAATTGGCTTGACATTGACGGGAAGATCAATTAAGGTCCAAGTCTTGTTTTTATTTATGGAGAGAATCTCTTCTTCACATGCATCTCTCCATTCTTTCTTATTGTTTGCACATTCATGAATGTGGATGTCTAGAATCGAAAGAGAAAGATTTAAGAAGACAAAGTTTAAGAATTACTCTCTTATTAAGCTTTAGAAAACTAACTCAAAAACTAAAGCACACAATATCTCTCAATCTCAAATCTCTCTCAACTCATAGGGTTACCACACCTTGGTACCTCTATTTATATGAAACTCATCTCAAGACCTAATCCCAACTCAATTAGGGCTTATTTAACTTCTAGAATATTCTAGATAACTCCTAGAATAATTAAGCTTTATTTCCTTTTAGTTAACTAACTTCTAGCTCAAGTTACTTAACCTTCAAGCTTACTCCAACAGGATGAACATTGAAGATGGACTAAAAGCAGAGTATGATGTTAAAAGTGATATTGATGGTTTAGGATACAAAAGCATTTTGCAGTGGTGGTGATCACGCATTGAGAACGCAAGACGGTTATGCTGATCCCAATGATGTTGGCCGCCTTAATGTTCTTGATCTTCAGTATGTGTCCTTGATCAACAAGACAATAAAAAGAACGTGTTTCCTTATCCTTTATTAGATTCATATATTTTCCACCTTCCTTCTTCTGTTCCTACTCAGGTTCAAATCCGCAGATTGCCAAAGCCAGTTATCGCGATGGTAAGCACTTTCAAACAACTGCTAGTTTACTCTATGCATCTTTTTACTAATCTTGGATTAGCTAGTTCTGTTAGTGTGCATCTATGCCCATGGGCAGAGAGCATTTCTTGTGGTTGATCTGTTTGATTTTGGACTGAGTCTGGTTGCTGGTTATTCTATTGGAGGAGGACACATTTTGCACATGGTCTGCGATCTAACAATTGTAGCTGATAATGCTATTTTTGGTCAAACGGGTCCTAAGATTTTCCCTCTAGCCTCGGTTTCAGCCTTGAATTGACTGTGTAACTATGTAAGTGAAGTAGGAACCAGAGTTATTGATTATGTGGATCGGCTTCATGTTTGCAGGTTGGAAGTTTTGATGCTGGTTATGGAAGTTCTATCATGTCTCGTTTGGTAATTGAACTCACTATTACTGCATTGCAATATCCAAAATCTAACAAACATAGGTTGATCAAACTGTTTGAAAATAAACAGGTTGGTCATAAAAAGGCACGAGAAATGTGGTTTATGACGAAGTTCTACACAGCTTCTGAAGCAGAGAGAATGGGACTTATCAATACAGTTGTGCCGGTAAAGATTACCAGTAAACCCCATAGTGTTGTCACAGATTCACAAAATAAATCACTCTATTTGTTGGTAAGTGTTTTATTCCTTCAAGGAGACCTGTTTTCTGTTCCAGCTAGAAAAGTTGGAGAAAGGAACTGTGAAATGGTGCAGAGAAATCTTGCGGAACAGTCCAACTGCAATCCGAGTGCTTAAGGCAGCACTCAACGCTGTTGATGATGGCCATGCCGGAGTTCAGGTACCTCCTTCACCCAACTTGCTTAGTCTCTTTTTGTTCTAAAGGAGCAAAATCCTATAGTCATGCAGTTTTAACAGATTGACGAACTTTTCTTGTTGCAGGGACTCGGTTGCGATGCGACACTCTTATTCTATGGAACCAAAGAAGCTGTCGAAGGGAGAACTGCTTACATGCACCGCCGACCACCAGACTTCTCTAAATTTCCCCAGCAACCTTAAACTCACTTCTAGCTCAGTTCATGGGTTTCCATTACTTTATTTTTTTTAATAACTATTTTCATTACAGCATTTGTCGTCATTCCAATCCAACTCTTTTTTTTCATTTGTTTACTATACTAAGAACAATGATTTTTTGAAGATAAATTTTAATTCTTAAAAACGGGAAACGTTATACACCATAAAAAAAACAATGCATTACCACAAAAAGATTGAAAACATAAGGAAACACCCAGAGTTTAAGAGATCACAAAAGCCTTGCCTTCCAAGGAAAGAAAATTCATCGGAAAAACCCCTAAATGGCGAGAAACTAACGTTCTCCATTACCACAATTCTGATCAACAATGGCGACCACAACATCCTTTGACTCCTTCAAAAGCTTGATATTGTTGTTTAGTTTCTCTCTCTTGTTCGCCACTGAAGGTGACTCCTCCAGCAGCCTATGAACGCTGCCTCCGTTCCCGCTTCTAGAATCTACCATTTCTGCGATGATCTCCTTCTGAAACTCCATATCCACGAGATTTCTCACGGTTAATTGCAGATGCAGCGCAAGGTTGTCCAAAATCCTTCACAGGACGATTTTCCAGTACGATAAGATCCTCATCTTCATGTCGAAAGCCTGGTGCAGTAAATGAGCATGATACTTTCGTAGATGTGAAATCTTCACATCCCCAAATCCAGTTAAAGAGTACTCAGGTTTGTTCCTATTTATCAAAACAGCATTGATGAAGCTCTTTTGTTCACCTGTCTTCTGGGTCCAAGATTTCATGTACTTAGGATTACATATTTGTAATCCCTTATCTTCTCCATTTCAACTCTCTCCATCACAATTTTGTAGATAGTAGCCAAATTTGTATTTCTAGAAATTCAATATTGTCTACCAATTCGATTTACTAACATAGTTTTTGTCTAGTGTTTCTTTTTCCACATTTAATGCATGTGCTTCTGACACGCCACATTTAATGCATTATTCCCTGCAGAACAATTCATTTTCTTGCCAAATTTGAAAAAGGCAAAATGGTCACATACTTATAACCAAAAAGCTAGATCATGGAATTTTTAGAAAAAGAAAAATAATATCGCATTTCTTAAAAGATTTGTTTGAAATATGACACTGCTCGTTAGATTCCCATTTTTCAATGGAACTTTTATTTTTAGTTTTTTGCTTTTGGTTTTGGAATTTTTAAGTTGGCAATAGATTTCAGTCTATTAAGGCTTGAATAATTTAAACACATTGTGTTGCAGTTTTTTATGCTTTAGAAAGAAGTTTTTGTTTACGCTTGCGACTGGACTTGGTTTGATATATGTGAAATTCTGAAGATGCAAGAGATGAGACTATAGAGAAAAAACTAGGGAATGTAAAAAGAGGGAGAAAACATAGTTGTTATCGGATAGAGGTTTTAAGCATTTAACTAGTCTTATGATCCATGGACCATGATAAATTCACAGTTCAATACACAAGTCAATTTTTTTCAAAGTAAAAAGCTATCCTTTTAATTCCAGCTTTCAAGCTGTTGGAGGAGATACTTATTGAATAGAATGGTACTATCAATTTCAGTTTCGGTAAATTTCTTATTAGAACAGTTTAGATTGTATCGCACGTCTTCATTTCGCTTTTTTTTTTTAAAACAACAAATTTGGACTCTCGAAAACCTGAACCACCGCTAATCTTTCTCAGAGGGCTATTATTAAACTTCATGCCATCCAAAAGAAAGTAATGTATTGTGAAAATTTGTAGAGTATGTAGGAGGAAACAAAATCAGTAAATACTAAGACAAATACTAAGACAATCCACGCAAATGTAACTCAAAAGTTTTTTTTCTCATAGTCGGCGTCAAGTGCACTTAGTAATGCAGGTTCGAAATCATTAAGAAAAACTTTGAAGTCTGCAAAAACATAAATAACACAGCTTGATTAAGTTATTCAGATAAGTTCTTCTAACAAAACAAGTTACATAAAGCAGAAGCAACAACTTAAAAGGAATTCGTAGCCACCTTAACCCAAAAGATTGATATTGTTACATTTCTAGTGGCAGCTGTAACATCCTTACAAAAATCTATCAAACCTTGTGAAATGGAAATTTCTAAAGTAGAGAAATCAGGGGCTGAAAATTTCTAAGTGGAGAAAAATTTACTTTCTTGCTCTAAAATGTCAGCTTTTTAAAACGAAATCTCTAGTTGCTCCTTTATAGTGTTGTTGACGAGAAAATGTCTCGGAAATCCCCTTTTGGCAAACAGGAGTCTCATATTTCCCTTCAGAAAACAGAATTTTGTTTTTATTTAATTTTAAATCGAAATTGAAGATAGTTACCTTTTTACCCCAGGCAAAACAAGAAAACTACAAAACAAACCCAGGTTTTATCCACCCAACCGAAGAACTTTCGGATCTAACCATCCAAACCGGGTTAAATCCACACACTCGACCCACGAACCCTAAATCTTCCTCCTTCGTTTTTTTCGAACTCATCCACTCTCCCCACAAACTCTCTTCTCCTCTCCCCACGAACGACCACCCTGACCGTTTTCTTTTCTACTCTCCTTTATTTCTCCAAGATTCTCGAATCCTTTTCTCATTCAATTGTTCTTCAACGGTTTGCAAATTCTGATTCAATTTTTCCGATTGAGATATGCCTCCTAAGACGAAGACTATGGGGAAAGGGAAAAAGAGAGTAGCGGATCTTCTAAAAGAGGTAGATGATGGAGGAGCAAAGCAGAGAACGGAGCAGCCATCATCGACGGAGCAACCATCCTTGTCCGCGCAGCCATCCTCGACGGAGGAGCCAACCCCGACAGAGCAAAATAAGACAATTGAGGGAGGAGGAGTTGAAGAACAACAAGTTCCGACCTTAAGTCCTGTTTTAGAGGCAGTGGAAGAAGAGTCTGACAAGAATCAGGAAGAAAATTCTGAGAAGAATGAGGAAGAAGAGAGTGAAGAAGAAGAGAGCGAAGAAGAAGAAGACAAAAAAGAAGAGAAAGAAGAAGGGAATGAGGAAGGAGAGGAGTCCTCCTCCGATGATGGTAGTAGATCCTTGTCTGGAGAGTCCTCCTCCGATGAGAGTAAGGAGGATGAGATTGCAGTGGAAAATGCGCCGGAAAATGCTATGGTAAGTATTTGAATGGTGTGAAACTGGTAGAACATGGTAAAACTATGTGTATATCTGGGTACAACTGGTAGAACAGGGTAAAACTATGATTATTGGTAAAACTGGTAGAACTAGGAATACGATGTGTTTGAATTCTGGGTATAACTGGTAATACTAGGGCATTACTATATGTTTGATTTCTGGGTAATACTGGTATTACTAGGGTATAACTATGTGTATGAATTCTGGGTAACACTGGTATTACTAGGGTACAACTATGTGTATGATTTCAGGGTAATACAGGTAATACTGGTAATACTATTCGCAGAATAATGATATATGAATGAATGTCTGTTCTGTTGTAGGAGATCGACGAGGAAACAGAAGCAATACCACCGCTGAGTACGTATTTCCCACATTCGGAATATGTGAAGAAAATAAAGCTATCAACTCGGTGCTATATTCACGAAGTGTTGACTACATTCGATAAATTGGAGACTCCGATGAGCAAGTCTGAGAGGGCATGGTTTGAGAATCATCCGAGTTTCCAACACGTCTTCCACATGCCAAGAGACCCAAACCACCGAGTTATGGGGATGTGGATGCTCCTTCTTCGCACGGCGCGCATTGAAAGGAAGAAAGAAGTGTGGTTCATCGTCAATGGCGTTCTAATCCGATATGGTATATCGGAACACGCATTGATATCGGGCTTCAATTACAAGAACTATGCACTTGGATATAAAAATATGGGAAGTATGGAATTCAAGACGAAGCATTTCACGAATGCTGCTGTGAAACGCGAAGACGTGAGAGAGAAGCTCTTACAAATGGTACCGAAGGGTGAAAGATCTAAAGATAGGTTGAGGATGATGGTCCTCTATTTCCTAAGTAGCATTATTGTAGCGCCTATCAAGACCGGGGAAAAGGCACCCCAAGTGGATAAATTATGTCTAAAGGCTGTGAATGATCTTACGTTTTGTAGGAATTTTCAGTGGGGGAGGTATTTTTTCGATTACATGTTAGAAACCATCTCACACACGATGGATCATTTTAATGGTTTTGTCACTAACAACGAGAAGTACATATGGCCGGTTCGGGGTTTCTGTCTTCTGATAGAGGTTAGTTACAAGTTATAGTAATTGGTGATTGTTTGGAATACTTGTAATACTATGAATACTATTTATTAGGAATACTATTTATTATAGAAATACTGGTTGTACTGGTAATACTGCATATTAGAAAACTGGTAATACAACATATTAGAAAACTGGTAATACTGGTATTACTGTTGAATCTAAATATATGTTTTTTTATTCCGTAGCTTCTTGCAATCGAAGCAATTCCACTGTTGAGGGAAAAATTCATTGAGGACATTGCAGGAGCAGATCAGGGATGTCCTAGGATGTGCAAGGTGAAGTGCAAGAAGAACCATTTGAAAGGCATTCCTCTTGATACTTTTAATCATCAATTGGGTACAACTCAGGTTAGTTGTCCTATATATACTGTTTTATGAAATATTTACTATTCTATTTAATTATAATAATCCATATTTCTTTATGTTTACAGGTCATTGATTGTATCGTCACACCTAGAATTGCAGAGCACGCACTTATGAACGCAATCACGGAAGAAGAAGACGACGTTGACATGGTTGATGTGGTGGTGGAAAGTTGGTTGCAGCATCATAAAGAGGGCCATCTAATGAGGTTTGAAGAGCTGTACGAACATGATCTGCATGCCTGAAGAATCATCGCAGGACCAGAGATTGCGGATCCTGAGGATATTCCCGCAATAGATGGATAAGAACTCTTGAGTTTGGTTGCTGTGGTGGAGATGATTGAAAACATGAAAGTTGGGATGACAGATCAGCTGAATGAAATTATTGCAATGATTTCAGAGTTGGATAAAAGAGTTGAATCGTTGGAAGCATTCACGGAGGCGTTGGAAGCATTCACGGAGGCGTAGAAAGCAGAGAAGAGAAATGTACGATTTGTAATACTGGTAATACTGGTATTACTAGTAATACTGATACTGGTATTACTGAGTAATACTGAGTAACACTGTGATATAACTTTGTTCAATTGCAGGATGAAGAAGAGAAGAATAAAGAGAAGGATGGTGACCCGAAAGAGACAAATCAAGAGAAGGATGGTGACCCGAAAGTTCCTTCGGATGGTGGTCCTTCGAAAGCTATGGATGCAAAAGTCACCAAGAGGAACACTCGGAGCAACAAACAGCTTGGTTGACTGAAAACTTTCTTTGATGTTGGGATTTAAATTTGGTTTGTTTTGTTTGCATTTGAACTTGGATTTGTTATGTTAGGAATTGAATTTGGATTTGTTATGTTAGGATTTGAATTGGGCCTTTCTTGAGTTAGTTTTATAAATTTATTACAACGATCTAGAAAAACTAGTAATACTGATAAAGGTAATACTGGGAATACTGGCATAACTGTTAACAAA